TAATTGAAATGGTATGCACCTATGTAGGCACCAGCTAAGGGGAGCAGAAGAGGGCCCCATAGTAAGAAGGTGAACCTGAGAGAAAGCAAACCACAGTCACTTGCTTAGCTACTTTTCCCATCTGAGATTCTCCTTCAACACTAAGATGTTGATGTCTTTAGGATTTATGTTAATTAAGAAAAGCTATTCCTCACATAATGATATAGGTACACCAGCCATATTAAAATGGCAACAGTATCATAAAACCTCAGGGTGGCCTAGTCTCTACCCTCTGGGTCCCTACCCTCTGGGCAAGCCAGTTACTTCTCTGAGCCTGGGTTCTCAGTTGTAACACTCACTTGGTAAGGCCATTGTAAGGATGAAGTCATACTGGAGGTTAAACAGATGACACTTGCTCAATTAGTGTTCACCCTCTCCCATTCTGTTCCTTCCTTCAAAGGGCTGCTAGGCTACCCTTCCCAATAAAGCACCTGGGAGACCACAGCCATCAATAATAGGACCACTTGCTCATCTAGATGCCGCCTCCCCACTACAGAAAGGGCTGGCAGAACACTTTTCAATGGAGCTGCTTTCCATGGAGACAGATCACCAGCTACAGACATTTGCTCTTCATCTCTCTTCTTCTGTGGCAGCTGGATGACTCCTTCAAGCTCTGGGTTTATTTTTCTTTGATTACAAGCTGGCTTTTCTCTCCATAAAATTTTTACAAGTGAAGACATCCCTGAATAAAAGATGTGACTAAGACACAATAAAATGCAGAGTAGTGTGTGTGTGTTGAGATGTACCTGTGCCTGTGTGCATGTGTGTGCATGTGTGTTCAGATGCATGCATGCACACGCTCTGTGTTGGGATGTATGTGTGTGCACTTTGGAATGCATGGGCCCATGTGTGGGCATCTATGTTGAGATGTGTGTATGGCTGTGTGCATATGTCTTCACATGTGTGTGTTGGGATGCAGTGATAACCTGACAGTGACAATAGACTCCCTGGTGGTCAGTCCTAGGGATAGGGTGATGAAGGACACCTAGTTCATGCCTGTGTGCCCCTGAATGAACCGCTGCACAGGCAGAAGGACTCCACCTTCTGAACACTAGAGCACTGGCTCTCAACTCTGGCAATCTACCAGAATTGCCTGGGAACTTTTAAAAAGAAACCAATGCCTGGTTCTATTAAATCAGAAGCCCTGAGGTGCTGCTTGTGCAACCATACATTTGTTTAGACCCAAGGCTTTCTAATGTGCAACCAGGGTTGAAAACCCACTCTTTATTTGAGAATAGGAAGGTTCACCCTCTCCTACATGGATAACTGCATCCCCTCCTTCAGGAGCTAGTTCCCATTTTTGGGTCACCAAGATTTACTGAGTTACCATTTTTATACATTCTGCAAGTCTGGGCCAATGAAATAAGGAATGAGGATCAGGTTTATTTTCGGGAAGGCTAATGATCCTGTCCACCTTATGCTTGCTTAGGCAACTGATGATGGGGAGTAGAATATCGATCCAGAGAAACTGTCCCCTTTGACATCTTGGCATGTATGGATGTAAGGGAGGTCTTAGAGGATGCCCCACGCTCCTAGCTTCTCATCTCCTTGCCTTCCTGCTTTCCACATTCACTCCTGTGTGTCCGAGGGCAGGACGCACATGGACACGTGAGATTATGCTACTTTCAAAGGTCCGTTTTCTTGGAAACTAGAAACATTTGCCACCCTTGCCTTCTCTCCTCCCCCATCCCTTTGCACAAGCCCATCAACCATTTAGAACTTCTTCAAGATGAAAAAAAAGAAAGACAAAGAGCAGAAGGCACAGTTGGGCTGAAGCAGGGAGGGAAGACCCTGCCTGACCTCAGCACAGTGAAAACCACATACACAGTGAACAAGAACTGAGGGTCTTGGCCAACTAGGGCCAGAGACACTGAAACATCCCTGTCAGGCAGGCTAAAGTAAAGTATATTTTGCTCTTTAGGGCTGAAACTTAATTTGACACTCCCTCCTCTCAGCCTTTACCCTCATGCTCCAGATCCCGGCCTCATTCTTTGAACACAGCATTATACCTCTGGTTTAAAAAAAAAAAATCAATGATCAACTTGATCTCTGGTCAAATCATCAGTTTGGGAAAGCAATCAAAAGAACAGAACTCCATCCCACAGAGGGGATGAAAGCCAAATGCATCTGAGTTATGGGTTAAGGATGAGACACACACACCTTACACGAACAGCGCTTACCTCCTGGGACCTGCTTAAAGTGCAGGGTCTTCCAGGGCCTCTGGTCTCATCCCGCTATCTTCAGGGCTGAGAGAGAAGGGGAAGTCTGGGGAGCCTGTTTTCCAGTGGGCTTGGAGGTGATTAGCACAAGTCACGAGCATGTGGGGGGAGAAGGAGGCCACCATGTAGCCTCTGGCTTATTAAAATCTGATGCTGGAATCTGGGGGGGGGGGAGGGGGCAGAGGAGGAGTGAATCAATGACCCAGGAAAACTACACCAGCTGACAGCCTTAGGAAAAGGCTCAAGGAAGAGTTGCAAAGAAGAAAAAAGCTTAGGTAACTTTCCCAAACTCTGCACTGACCCTGGCTGAGACCCATCCCTGACATTCTGGTACTTTCTTTCATGGGGATACACCATCTTTCCTCCAACCTCTGCCTCACAGGATGAAAGTGGTCCCAAGTGATTTCAGTTTTCAATGTTTAAAAAAACAAACAAGTATCTGCATAGTTAAATGCTGGTCTCCAGTGCTCAGCTATTATTAGAAGGCTCCTCAGAAGAGGGCCACCATCTCTTTCCAGGCCTCTGGTTTTTATACACCCCTCCAAGCAACTAGGCCACCTGTTCCCAAGAAAGTTGGCCCCAGGCAGTAAGGACAAGAGGTGAAGGTAGAGGAAGGGGGGACTGAAATTACAGGATCAGGATCCACTGCTTCAAATATAACATTCCACTGAGACTCAGACTGTCACCTTCCAAGCTTAGGAATTTTCCATCATGTACATCCCATGATTGGGAGATCCTGAGGTTCATTCAGTCTCAAGTGAAACTGATCAACTTGGAAGACTGCATCTTCCTCCTTGAGACTTTTCCAATATCTTTCCCACACCACATAGTATAGACTTGAGATATAACATTGAGTGTGTCTGGGGTTTGGGATGATGTTACATTTCTATTTTTCTCCCAAAAAAGGTTCCCTGACATTTTCTTCCTAGCCTTCAGATCTCTGAAGAGCAAGCAAGGCTGGCCAGGGGAAAAGTGGAGGGAACTGTGGATGCTCTGGCAATACCACCACCTACTGCTGGCTCAGGGATATTTAAACCCTGGAGTTCAGGTTTGCAGAATGGCAGAGGGAAATTCCTTTCATCATTAATGTACCTTAGAAGAACAGGTATCAAGGCATCCAATTTCCCTCAGGATAGAGCCTCTCTGTTTAGACTGCCACAAGTATCCAACAGCTTCACTAAAGAAACAAACTCTGAAATGTCTATGATCTACAAAAACAATCTGATGGTCACATTGCAATTGACCTAAAACAATATTTGTTCAGTTGGAATGATGTCATCAAAAAAAGGGCTGGTTATCTTTCTACCCTTTCCTTAATATTCAGAGTTAAACCATGGTTGAATTCAGGACACTCTTCATCATTTAAACCAGCAAATACAGAACTTTTCTAGCAGCCAGGAAAGTTCTATTAAAAAAAAAAAAGTCAATAGCACTTGAAAAGTAATTCCCTCGCACATTTGCCACAGCGTTCTGACCCTGTGGTACTCCATTTTAAGGACCACGGTTGGCTTGCCAAATAGGCATATCTTGGCTTCCTTTGCTAGGTAGAAACACTGCCCTGATATAAAATATTCAAAGCAAAGAACCTCTGACCCAAGAGCTCTCAGCTAACAATGACAGTCTCTGTAAGTAAACTAGAAACCCAACTCAGCTTCTGGTTTGCCAGTGTTCCCTGCCATGTACTAGTCTGCGCAAACAGGGCTGCAGGGTGACTCCCTTTACCAAGATTATATTGCAAAAGACCCTGCAGGCAGGGCCCCTACCCGGACTATGCAAAGCCTGGACTTGGCAAAAGATTCCTGGGGAAGGGGGAGAGTGGGGTTCAGAGCTGCTTCCTGCACTGGCTTGGGGCTGGGAAACAGTGAAGGCCTCCAGTCTGTCTGGAGGGAGCCTCAGGTACCAAGGCAAGGACTTGTATCTCCAAATTAAGTACAGTGGTAATAAAGGCTCCTAGAGCCACCATCAACCCAGAAACTTCCTCTCTTGGCTTTTGCAATGCCGCACCTACAGCTCCAAAACTTATCTGACAAGAGCTGGGAGCCCTGGTCCAATTTCCCAAACAGGACGCCTCATGGATTCCTGGGAGGGGGAACTCAGTTATTTTTTGTTGAGGCTGGAACTGGGCTGGGGTCGGGGCGGGGAAGCTGGTACCTCTCGGGGTAAAGTCTTGCCCCTGAGTCTCCTGTTTGCAAGCTCTTGCTTATTTCTCTGAGCATCTCCACCAGACCTCCTGTCCCCTGGGGGTTCCGGCCTGTCAGCACATACCTCGGGTCACGTGTCCCCTGCACCAGTCTCCTTTCACATGGGCACCAGGGAGACTGGCTGGGGCGCACCCGGACTAAGCGGGTGGCAAACCAGGTGCCACTCCTCTGACCATAAACACGTGTATTCCACAGCGCTGGGCGCGTCAGCGGCTCAGTTTAAGGAGCCTCTAGCGGACTCGCATCGGTCAGAATCCGGTCCCTGGTGCTGGCAAATTAACGAGGTCAACAGCAGGGCGAGAAACACCAAATACTTTATCCACCCCTTCTCCGACAGCGGGAGGGGGCTCTGCCTCCACCCTGCACGCAGTCACCTATAAGCCAAAGGCTCACCTCAGGCGAGAAAACTGTCCCTGAGCGCACCCCGACTTGAATACTTTACTCCACCCTGACCGAGCCCCCGAGGGCGGTCGCCCCGCAGAGGGCTCACCTGGGCGCACAGCGGCGCGGGGGGCGCGCGGCGAGGGAGGGCGCTTCTTACCCGAGAAGTCGGTGAGCGCCGCGATTTCCTTGGAGCAGACGAGGACGGTGCAGTAGAAGAGGCGCAGGAGCTGGCCGGGTGGCTCTACCTGCCGGCGGAGGCCGGGCTGCGGCGCGGGCTGGGGCGCGGGCGGTGGACGCGCTGGGCCCGGCAGGAGCATCGTGCGCGGCGCGGCGGGGCGCGGGCGCGGGCCCGGGGCGCGCGGGGGGTCGCTGGAGGGGACAGCGGCGTCACATGGCAGAGCGCGTCGGGGGCCCGCGGCTCCCCGGTCCCCGCCGCCTCCAGGGCCAGGCTGCCAGCACCTCCTCCCCGAGGTTGGTCAGCCCCGGCCCCCCAGCTAAGGGGAGAAGGCGGAGAGCCGGGGCGGGGCGGGGCGCCCCGGGAAGGATCCGCGCGGTGTGGTTTCCCCGAGAGGAAATCTCCGCTGCCGCCGCGCGGGAAGAATCAAGGGGCGCCCGGAGGGAACGTGTAGCCTTGGCTTGCCCGGCGCGGGTGGAGGCCGATCCCTGGCGCGCTGCCCGCCTAGGAGGGCGCCCCCAGAAGCTCGCCGAGGCCGCGCCCCTGGAGCGCCTCCACGCCCGCGCCCCCGCCCGCGAGCTGGCCCGGTACCCCGACCCGGCGGCGCTGGCCCGAGCCCAGCCTCTCCCCGGCCGCGGGAGGACCCGGCTGGTGCCCGTGACGCACTTTGGAGCCGGCGCCGCGCGCTCAGCCCCGGTACCCCTGGGGCGGGGCCGAGGCCGGGGCGGGACCACGGGAAGGTGGGGTTCTCGAGGTGAGGACCGCGGCGAGGGGTTCCTGCGCCCGCCGCTCTCGGGGTGCAGAGCCAACACGCGGCTGCGCCCCCTTCGCGGGGAGGAGACCGAGGCCGCGCGCGTTGCCCCAGCTCCTGCAGCCAGGGCGAGAGCGAGCTGGGGGCGCGGGGCGCGGGGTCTTCAAATGCATCGGGCCTCCCCCAGGGCGAGTTTCTTTTCGCGCCGACCACGCATCTGTGCGGGCGGGTCATCCGCGACGCCCCGAGGACCTGACCCCGGGCGGGCGCCAACAGCCGCCCCACTGCCGACAGCGGGGCTTTGTTGAGAAGGGGCCGCTGCGTCCTTCTGGACCCCTCGATTGCGCGCGGCGTGACCCGCCTTCGGACGCTCAGCCCGGGGCGCGGGGGGCGCGGGGGGCGCGGGGGGCGCGGGGGGCGCGGGGGGCGCAGGGGGCGCGCGGCCGGCGCCGGGGCTGGGAGACACGTGCGTGGGCGCCGGGGACAAGTGCGGGCGCGCGGGGCCCGCGCCCCGGCCGAGCACCCCCGGGCCGGCGCCCCAGACCCAGCGGGCAGCCTGGCGCGCCGGCAGAGGGAGCAGGGCCGGGCCGGGGCGCGCGGCACAAAGTGTTCCCGACGCCGCGGGGCGGCCGTGCCAAGTCCGCGGCCTCCTGACGCGGAAACGTGGATAATGAGGCCCCGGGGCGGGGCCGGGCGCGCTGCCCCCGCGGGCTCCCAAAGGCCAAGGCCAGGGGTGCGCGGAGGCCCGAGCAGAGGAAGCAGCGCCCGGCCTCCCGGGGCGCCTCCCGCAGGTTAACCGCAAGGCCCGAGGACGGGAAGGCGTCGGTCCCGCGGGGGGCTGCAGCGGGGTCGGGTCTGCGGAATTGGGGTTCCTGGCGCTGGGCTCCCTCCCTGTCTGGGGCGGGGAGACAGATGCTAAACTTCGGTATTTGTCCAGCGGGACCCTGGCTGCCAGGCGCTGTGCTTTAACAATAAAAAAGTCTACACTACAATTCTCTGCCTTCTCAAATAATGTGCATTTTCTGCCTTGGGGAAACTGAGGCTGGGGGTGGGGAAGGACTCCTCTGGTAAGTAACCTTTGCTCTAAACCCTGCTTCATTCACCCACTGTAGATACCAGTTGAGTATCTGTGGGTGCCCACCCTGTGGTAGGGGTCTAGGGTGCTGGCGTGGGGAGCCAACCTCGCCCCCTGGGGCTGTCCAGGGGCCAGCAAAGTCACCAACTGTGACAGTACCTCAGGCTCCCCTGTCTGTAAAACCCTGCTCCTCCTCCTCCTGAGGCTTTCATGAATTGATATAGTGATGTGAGTGGACAGGTTCTGGCACATAATAAGTGCTCGGTCAATATTAGTCACTATTATAGCTTGGAAGACAGACATTGGACAGATAATTCCAAGTGAACTCGAGGTTGTGAAGGACAAGGGGTCATGGCGGCAGCAGAGGGGAGGCTGAACTGGAGAGAAAGAGGTGTTAGGGGGCCTTTGAAGGCAAGGAGGCTGAGAAAAATGGGGAAAGTTGGTCAAGGAAAAAGTAGCAAATGTCGGGAGAGTGAACATTTTAGAAAAGGGAACAGCATGCATGAAATACAAAAAAAGGGGGGGCTTCATAGAAGAAAAGTCTAGAATGGATAGAGCCGTGAGCAAAGTACAGGGCAAAGTAACATAGACAGGTGAGTGACCACGGCTCAGGAACGGGCCACCTTAGCGAGGATTACTTCCATCCGTTGCTTAGATCTCATGAGCACTTCCAGCGTCATCTTAAGCCAATAAAGGGCTGTGTGCTGACCAGTCACATGATCAGGTGTATGTAGGTAAAAGATTATGCTGGCAGCTGAGAGCAACTGGACAAGAATCATTGAAAGGGGGCCCAGGGATCAGATGCCCAACCAAAATGGAAAAGCCTCAAACAGATATTTACCGCCAATGTTCATGGCCATATTACGCACAATAGAGATGAGCAGATAAACAAAATGTGGACTATTATTCAGCCATTACAAGGAATGAACTTCTGATAACAAAATACTACCACATGTATGAACCTTGAAAACATTATGCTAGGTGAAAAAAGTCCAGACACAAAGTAATGAATAGTATAGGATTCCGTTTACATAACATATCCAGAACAGGCAAATTCACAGAGACAGAAAGTGGATCAGAGCTTACCAAGAACTGGGGGGCAGGGGAGTGAAGAGATACTTAACTGTTTAATGATCATTTCTGTTTGTGGTGGTAAAAAAGTTCTTGAAGTCGACAGTGGTGCTGCTGGTTACACAATAGTGTGAATGTTGGTAACACCCTCAACTACCATTGTGATTTTATGTTCCATGTATTTCTGACAACTTAAAAAATTAATTATATACAAAAAATCATTGAACTGTGCTCTTTATTTTTTTTTTTTTTTAAGATTTATTTATTTATTTATTTATGCAAGCAGTGGGTACAGTCAGAATTGCGGGAGAGTGAGAGAATTCACCAGAGCCAGAGCGGGGAGCAGAGCAGGCAGAAGGACCGAAGTACACTGCTGAGGGGAGCAGCGGGCGGCAGGAGAGGTCTGCGCGCCATGTGGGACCCTCCTCCGGTGGCCGGGGAGCAGCTGGGGATCGAACCGGCACCGCGGAGGCTGCGGGCAGCTTCGCAGCCCAGCGCTCAACCGCTGCGCCACCAGGGAGGCCCCTGAACTGTGCTCTTTAAATGGATTTGTACTGTATATGAATTATATAGCAATGAAACTGTAGAAAAAAAATCAAACACTGACAAGGTCAAGGGAGATGGTCAGGAGGGGAGGGGCTCTGGACTGTGGCTTTGCAGGTCTGGAGAGAAGGGGAAAGTGGCCAAGTCAGAAAGATGTTGGGGGAGGGGGACAGTAGTTTAACTGCTTGTTGTGGAGAGAAAGGATCTTTCCACCCTCAGCCACTCGCTGTTAAATCTGATTTTACTCCTAAGCTGAACTTTAAGAATTTTGGAATCTTGCAAGAAATTCAATATTCATCTTTCTTTTTTCCAAGTACCTTTGTGTCTACAAGCAATTATTTTCACACACACCCTTTTTCCTTCTCTGTAAATATACAATCAAATACCTAAATTCTGGAGCTCAATAAAAATTCTTAGGATGAAAAATGGGGAGGGAAACACAAGGTCAAATCGCTTGTAAAGTTGCTCTGGGGCACAAAGAGGAATCATCTTTTCTGCCAAGCAGTTTTCCCTAGATTCTTTCTCCTAAGATGGAATTTTAAAAATCAAAGGCAGTTTTAGCCTCTTGATTAGTCGGCACAGTTAAAAGAGCTGCAATCAAAGCCAACAGTCTGATGAGGGACAAATCAAATAATAAAGTTCTTCTCAAATATTAAAACTTATAACAACCTTAGGAAGTAGGGCCTCCCTGGTGGTGCAGCGGTTGAGCGCTGGGTTGCGAAGCTGCCCGCAGCCTCTGCAGCGCCAGTTTGATCCCCGGCTGCTCCCCGGCCACCGGAGGAGGGTCCCGCATGGCGCGCAGACCTCTCCTGCCGCCCGCTGCTTCCCTCAGCAGTGTATTTCGTCAGTCTGCCTGTTCTGTTCCCCTCTCTGGCTCTGGTGAATTCTCTCACCCTCCCGCGCTTCTGACTGTACCCAGTGCTTGTATAAATAAATAAATAAAATCTTAAAAAAAAAAAAAAAAAAAAACCTTAGGAAGTAGATGCTACCCAGGACCTGGCGGGGTCCCTGGTTAGAAAATTATTAATTTCGAGAACGGCGACAGCAGAGCATCCCACCAGTATGGGCGCTCATTGGCACAGCGTTGAGTGACAGCACAGGTCACAATACCTTGAACTTGACCCTGGTCTTGCCAGTAACTTCATCTCTCAGATGGGGAAACTGAAGACACACATTCACATAGGTCGTCTGCAGCTGGCTTTGAAGCCCTTTGTCCCTGCAAATCGGGCACATTGGGCAATCTTGCCCCTTTGCACAGAGAGGTTTGAGAGCTGTTTCTGTGCCCACAATGTGCGTTCAGTGCGTGACAGCAGCCATGCAGGGCTCTGCCAATGACTTGTCTTCCCTGCCTTTTCTTTCTTCGGCAGCGATCCTGCCCCCTCTTTCTATCCTTCTTCCTTGAGAACCCGGCTCTTGTCCTCTGCACAGGCCCAAGCCTGGCTTGGAAGATGCTGTGTGCCGTGCTCTGCGCCTATGCGCTCAGCTGGGCCATGAGGGTGAGGCTTTTGGCTTTCCACAAGGATGGGCTGCAGCCCATCAGAGAAGACATAGGCCGCCATTTGTCAGGCACAAAGAAATCAACCTTTCTAGCTCCGAAGAGTGAGGCCCAATGTTCCAGAGCAAAAAAGGCTTTTTAGAAAGTAACAAATGGTAGTTTGTGTTTGGAGCTGGCACTGAAGCCACATTGATACCAAAGAGGCTGCTTGCTGTGGCTTACAAGCCCTGGGGCACACCAGAAGGGCTGGGGGGAATGTGTAGCCCAAAAGGGAAGGTGGCCTTGAGGAATATTTGCACAGAAGGGAGGCCCCCAGGACAGTCTATCCAAGGGCAAAGGCATCGAGGATGGCGGCCCCTCTCCCACCCAAGGAGGCGTCTGAGCTGCCTGCCTTTCCTTTTTTCACATTTGCAAAATGAAAAGGTTGGGATGCAATATCCATTTTGGCTCTCAAAGCCCATAACCTGTTTAAATTAGATGTAGGATTTCAGGAAATTGGGCTACATCTACGCTGGCTCCTTGACATTCCTTGATTTTTAAAAAAATACTTATTTTCCCATACATGCCGTCAGTCTGTTCATATGTTATTCATGTCTTCCTTTTTGTGAAAGAAGAATAC